ATTTTCCTCTCGGGATCTCGGGCGTGAGTTTAAACCACTGGGTCCAGGACTTGAACAGTGGTTAACTACATGGGAGTCCAGTGACTTAGCCATTACGCTAACTGTTGGTCCCAACCACCACACCTTTAAGTATGATGTATTCCATCTGTGGACAGAGGCAAAGCCCTGATGAACAACATATCAATTAACTTAAAATATTCCTTTTTGTGTTTTCTTTTTCTTTTTGTATGTTATTTTGTACATTTGAATAGCAATATGTGTCTGATTTAGGCTTAAATGTCAAATCTTCAGATAGACTTGCTTTGACTATCCATCTTAAGGAGGTCATCTTTGCTTTTTTCTATTATTCTATTTTAAGCACTTAATAAATATTTTCTTTCATATATATAATAGATACGTCATATATATCATCTGACATGTCAAGATTCTTATCTCCCATAGGTCCTTGCTTCTAACTTTCTCTTTTACTCTTTGGGCCACTAGAAATACATACCTACACATATGTGTACCTTTTGTTTGTGGACTGGATTTCCCATTCGTTTTTAGTTCCCCAAGGCATGTACCTTGTCTGTCTTATTTCCCATTCAGTTTCTGAAATTGATGATGTGGATACATGGATATATACATGTCTATACATATACACACACACGTATGTAGGTTTTTGCCATAGGGTGTGTGCACTCACTGGAGAGAGACAGACAGAGGGAAAGTGAAAAACCGTCCAGGAGGATGGCCATGCACCCTGCAGTCCCTTCTCCATTCTTCTTGCAGGATTTTGGGCACACACGCACATGTGCCCAGCATGTTTCTCAAGTTGCCGGGTCTGGGACTCAAACGATGCTCAGCCATGTGTGAATCTAGTGCCTGAACCAACATTGCCACTTGCTGGCCTGGACATGGATATATTTTTTAAATATATGTATGTAATTGCCAGAGGGAGTTTGTCCTTGCCAGAGAGAGAGAGAGAAAGCACTCCCTCAATGGGGGATGGTTCCACCACAGTCCTTTTCTTCCATTTCTCCACCTTGTCCGGATCCTGACCATACACACGCCCAGCATGAATTTCAAGCCCTCCAGGCTGGGATTTGAACCACAGTTGTGCTCTTAATGCACAGTGCTTACTACAGGATTGGCCTTGTATGGATTTAAAAAACATGTATGTGTGTACATTCCAGCTTATAGGTGAGACACAAAGTAAGTATTTGTGGAGTGAATGACTAGGAAGAAGATCGTAAAGAGGAGGTGGGAATGAGAGTGGAGGAAAAAGGATTGTGGGGAGATCAGGGCTCATGGAGGGGGGTGCTTTCTCTCTGGCAAGTGCATGCCTTTTGGCATTAGGAAAAAAAGAGAAGGTAGTAAATTTATACATGAAGGGCATTTTTTAAAACCAGTTTTTACCTTCTTCCAGTTATTTAAAATTCAGTCCTTTTAAACTTTTTGTTCCCTTTTGATCCAGTACTTAAGCTTCTTCCCTCTTTTCACTTGGGCACCTGCAGCCTCAGTCTGACATGGCAAGATTCTTATCTCCCCTAGGTGCTTGCTTCTGACGTTCTCTTTTGTTTCAGAAATTAGATTACACGTTACAGAAGAAATCCACGTTCACGTAACTTATTCTTCTTGGTGTCCCTCTTGGCCAGCCTGCTGGGACGGGGCTGGTCTAGTTCATCTTCGTATTCTTGTTTCTTTTGACAGACAAATCACTGTCCCTCAATAAATGTTTATCAGATCGAATTTCAGGTTTTTGCTGAACACACTGAAACTTCTATAAACCACACTTTATCATATTCTCAAAAATTACAGCCCAATGAGTAGGTTGCATATCCTTGGTCAAACATATGGAAAATTTATTTAAAAAGAGATCACTAATGTTTGAGCTAATATAGGGAAAGGACAGAGGATTTCAAGTTACATTTTAGTTGTATCTTTATAGTTCATTGTTATAAGTTTAGAAGATGTGGTTTTTAAGGAGATAGTTTATCTCAGACTTCAGACTTAATACAAATTGAAATTACCTTCAACTAGCAGACACTAAAGTTAAAATATTTTCTGTAAAACTTGTTATGAAATAACTTTTTATAATTTAATAGTTTGGTAATTTCTACAGTTAAGGTGTTATCTTAAAACTTTCCCTTCTCAACTGTGAGGTGTTTTGGATGTCTTTGTAGCATAGATTATATTTTATATATCATTGACATCTTTTTTTTTCTTTTTTTGGAGAGGTTTTTGCCATAGGGCATGTGTGCTCACCAGAAAGAGAGAGACATAGAGATAGAAAGTGAGAAATCACCCCCCAGGGGGGATGGCCACGCTGCAATCCCTTCTCCTCCATTCTCCTCTTGGGATCTTGGGCACGCACGCACATGCGCCTGGCGTGAGTTTAAGCCACCAGGTCTGGGACTCGAACCACGGTCAACTACATGGGAGTCCAGCGACATAGCCATTATGCTAACTGCTGGTCCTGTCATTAACATCTTTTAACAGTTGAATATAAGTGTGTGTGTATGTGTGTGTATAATTTTAGAGATTTTTGCTATAGGATGTCTGTGCTTGCTGGAAAGACAGACAAACAGCGAGAAATCACCTCCTGGGGGGATGGCGAAGCCACAGTTCCTTCTCCATTCTCCTCCCGGGATTTTGGATATGTATGCACACATGCCTAGAGTGAGTTTTAAGCTGTCAGGTCCAGTACTTGAACTGTGGTCTACTACATAGTAGTCCAGTAATGTAACCATTATGCCATCTGCTGATCCCAACAGTTGAAAATTTTAGTGTAAATTATCACTGTATTTATTTATTTATTTATTTATTTTGCTATAGGGCGCCTGTTCTCGCCAGACAGACAGACAGACAGAGACAGAGAGACAGAGAGCGAGAAATCATCCCCCAGGGGGGATGGCCATGCTGCAATCCCTTCTCCTCCATTCTCCTCTTGGGATCTTGGGCATGCATGCACATGCGCCTGGCGTGAGTTTTAAGCCACCAGGTCCAGGACGCAAACTATGGTTGACTACATGGGAGTCCAGCGACATAGCCATTACGCTAACTGCTGGTCCCATGTATTTATTTATTTATTTTCGTTTGTTTTGTTGAGATTTTTGCTATAGGGCATGTGCGCTTGCTGGAGAGACAGAGAGAGGCTGAGAGACAGAAAGCGAGAAATCACCCCCCAGGGGGGATGGTCACACTGCAATCCCTTCTCCATTCTCCTCTCGGGATCTCAGGCATACACATATGCCGTGTGAGTCTTTTTTATTTTTCTTTTTTGGAGAGGTTTTTGCTATAGGGCGTGTGCGCTCGCCAGACAGGCAGAGAGAGACAGAGAGACAGAAAGCGAGAAATCACCCCCCAGGGGGGATGGTCATGTCGCAATCCCTTCTCCTCCATTCTCCTCCCGGGATCTTGGGCACGCACTTACACGCATCCCACGTGAGTTCAAGCCACTGGATCCGGGACGCGAACCGCGGTTGACCACGTGGGAGTCCAGCAACGCAGCCATTATGCTAATTGCTGGTCCCTCCCAGTGTGAGAAGCCATGGTCCCAACTGCGGTTGACTACTTGGGAATCCAGCAATGAAGCCATTATGCCATCCTCTGGTCCCAATCACTGTATTTAAAATTCATAGGGCATATTGGATTTTCACTTGTTTAAAGTTTAGAAGTACGTGTTTGATAAATATTTCTTTTTTTAAAAAAATATGCCCTTTAATCATGATAGAGCTGTGTACAAGCATGTATAAGAGACAGAGAGAGACAGAAGGAGAGAGAGGAGCCCTCGCCACAGGGTCTGGTCACATTGCGATCCTTTTCCTCCAGTCCTCCAGCCTGTTGCCGTAGGCCAGGGATTCAAACTGTGGTTGCCAGGTGGGATCCATCCTCTCTAGCAGGGCATTACCACTGAGCCATAGAACTTGCTCTTGATAAATCAAATTTTTCTTTTACTTTCTTTTTCTTTCCCTCCCTCTCTCTCTCCCTCTTTCCTTCCCCCTTTTGCTATAGTGCACACGTGCTCTCCGGAGAGAAAGAGAAAAGGAAAACGAGAAATCATCTCCCGAGGGGTGACCATGCTGCAGTCCCTTCTCCTCCATTCTCCCCTTGGGATTTTGGGCACACACGCACATGGGCCGAGAGTGTTTCCAAGCTGCCAGGTCCAGGACTTGAGCCGTGGTTGGCTTGTGAGACCCTGCTGCCTTCACTACCACACCACCTGGCTGGCCCAATAAATGTGTATTTCTAACTGTGATTAAGCTGCCATTGATTTGGTATCTCAGTATTAGTGTAATAACAGTAATAGAGCATAACAGCAACACAGCTTTTTATTACATAGGTTTATCAGTTAATCTCTGTCTTAAGACCTTTTTCCTCCATTTAAAAAAAAAATAGAATGGAAAGTTGAAGCTCAGAGAAATAACTTCAGAAGATATAGTCCAACCGATGAAGAGGCATATCTTGAACCTAAATTTTGTGAGCCCAAGTGGAAAAATCTTTTTCACTAGCATGCTGCACCTGTCACTCATACTAGTCACAATTTATAGTTTGAATGTTTCAGAAATAGTTTCTGGGACAAGCAGATGGTATGCTGGTTAAGGCACTGAATTCCCATGTGGCCGACCACGGTTCAAGTGCAGGACATGGTTGCTTGCTTTTTCACTTTTTTTTTTCTCTCTCTCTGGTCAAATTTTTAAATAATAAAATTAAGTAAGTAGTTACTTTTTTAGAAAAGAAATCGTTCCTGTGTTCAGTGCATCTAGTGATGTGAACAGTGACAGTTTAAAATAATAAAAACTTAAAAATCTGCTTACTGTCTTAATAAGTACTCCTCGGCATTTCGTTGTGTAAAATAATAGAACAATGCAGCAATCAAATCCTGTAAGTTGTCTGAATATTTAAAGGAATGTTTTCAATGAATGTTTTCATCACTTATTTTAATTTTGAGTTTAGTATTAAAAGTTAAAATTTAAAAAAAAAAAGAATGTAGATACAATTTACTTTTTCTTTCCCAGACAGATACTGACTATGTGCATGGTGTTGTAGCCAACCTGGAGAAAGAGTAAGTCCTTCTTAATTAATGGGAATACAGCTATGTTCGTTACAGTTATTGTATGACTTTTTGCTAAAAGAAAGCTGCTTTTTCATAGTTGATTTCTCTGTGGAGTTCATTGGACTGCTTGTCCTTGGTCTTTTACACTGTCATAAAGTTGGTGCATGTATATCTGGTTATATGATGGGGTACGTCAGGTGCAGTTCGTTCTAGGCTGTCATGTGTGACACTGTTAGATAGCACTGTTTTTTCTTGAGGGCAGTGAATGCAGAGAGAGCCATACGAGATCGTTTCAATCTTTCACCCTCTTTTTACCAAGTAACCATTTTGCTGCTGTCAGGGCATATGTTCATGTAGGAGTTTCAGACCTGTAGCACTGAACCATATCTGAATCTTCTGCTAAGGACTGAGTACTAGGTTACTGTGAGCAAGATAGTAGGTCTTTGGGAAAATCATGGTATTTTTCTGTGCATTTCTATCCAAAAATGCATCATGACATTCCCAGCGACCCAATACATAACAGGTAACAGATGGAAAGCTTGGTACATGTTAGGTAATATTATTATTATTATTTTTTTTTTTTAATTTTTGCTATAGGGTCCATGCACTCACCAGAGACAGACAGAGACTGTGAGAGGGAAAGCAAGGAATCACCCCTCGGGGGAATGGCAACACTGCAATCCCTTCCCTTGGGATTTTGGGCATGCATACATACACTCCTGGCATGATTTTCAAGCTGCTGGGTCTGGGGCTTGAACCATGGGGGAGTCGAGCGCCATAACCACCGTACCATCTGCTAGCCCCTATAGTATTATTACTTTTTAGGAAATAACCTTCATAGTTCTAAAAGTGATAGAAAAATCAGTCTTGATGTAGGTTTCTTCATTGAATTATGATCTGTTTTTGCTCCAAAAAACATACTTTATACTTAAAAATCAAAGGTAAAAGAGAAACAAGGGTTATTTGCCAGCTCTAGATTCAAAATAATCTTGGATCTCTTATCAAAATACTAAAACTTGAGATTAAAAAAAATATTATAAATAATTCAGAATTGTCATTTTAAAGATGTTCCTCAAGTGCTGAATTTCTTAGTCTTTATAGAAACACAGCTTGCTATGGACCCCTTAAATAGAGGAACATGGTAATTACCAGTTCCCCTTCTCACAGCTCATGTGGGCAGGTCTCTGGGGTCTATGCAGCCATTCTGGGATTACTTTTCCCTCAGTGTGTAGGAGAACCCAGCCTACACTTGGGCTAAGCCATGAGGTTGCTGAAGTCTTCTGTGGAGATTTGCAAAACTGAAACAAGGGAGGATGGAAAATGAAAAGAAACTACATTCGAGTCAGTAAAGACTGATCAAAAAAACTTAGGAAATGTGTTTCTCAACCTCAGATTTCTGACATCTTAGGCCAGATAATTCTTGGTTGAGGAGGCTGTCCTATGTATTGTAGAATGCTTAGCAGCGTCCCTTGTGTTACCCATAAATGTTATTTGTCCTGCCCACTGTCAAGACATCCAGAATGTCCCCAGATGTTGCTTCATGTCCTCAGGAGGGACAAAATCAACATGTACTAAGAAACGCTGGTTTAGAATGACACAGTCTATCACCCACAATGAAAACCTACTGAAAGTTGAAGACCTTTGATACTTTTTTGCATAAATATACATGCACACACAAGTTTTTTTTTTTAATTTCCTGTTTTCTGTGAAACCTTGGGTTTGTTTTTTGTTTTTAGCTTTTCAGTCTTTTTTGCTATAGGGGGTGTGTGCTCACCAGAGAGAGAGAGAGAGAGAGAGGGAGGGAGGGAGGGAGGGAGGGCACGTGAGCACAAGCAAACAATGTGTATGTGCAAAAAGAAAGTGAGAAATCATTCCCTGCAGGGGGTTGGGCATGCTGCAATTCTTTCTCCTCCAGTCTTCTCTCAGGATTTTGGGCATACACCACATGCTCCCAGCTTGATTGTCAAGCCACTGGGTCTGGGACTTGAACCTCTCAGTTGACCATGTGGAAGCCTTGACCTCCACGCGCCTGCTCACCTGAGTGACTTTCTTTTTTTAAGTTGATACTATTAAGGGATATAATGCCTGCAGTTACTATCTAGAATTTTGCCCCCTAGATGTTTTTGTTACTCTAAGAATAGTGACATTTTGCAATGTTTTAAAAATACTAATAATAATTAAAAAAAAAAAAATACAAACAAAATTTTGTTGGCGAAACCTGTGTTTTCTGGTAAATAAAACCACTGGAGAGCTATATTATTTCACACATTGCAACCATAACATTCCACCCTACTGCAAATTACTGGTGTATTCTACATTCAACGTAGTAAATTGAGCACTGAGATAAAGAAACTCCTACAGAACTCAAATGACTTGGCTAACCCTTCTCATGACAGATTTTCTAAAGAGATCAGCTCTGGCTTGGTGGAAGTGATATCACCCCCTGAAAGCTATTACCCTGACCTGACAAACTTAAAGGAGACATTTGGGGACTCTAAAGAAAGAGTAAGGTGAGAACCGTGTGCCCCTTGAAGCCACCCACCTTGTGCGTCTTGTATCGTATAAAGGACATTATTTTTTTTTTCAGAGCTTTAACAACTTTAGTTTTGAATTTGGTGAACTATTCTTGGTAAGTCTTATTAAATTCAGGACAGCTTGTGAGAACTATTCTGGAGATGTTTTCCTGGTGTAAGTGTAAGCCTAGCATTTACGTTATTGTGTTTTTCTTGAATTAGCTTTTACAACCACCTTGCTCTCTCTCTCTTTTTTTTTGTTTTAAGAGATTTTTGCTATAGGGCCCATACACTCACTAGAAAAACAGAGAGACAGAAAGCAAGAAATCACCTTGCAGAGGGGATGGCCATGCCACCGTTCCTTCTCCATTCCCTCGGGATTTTGGGCGTGCGCACACACGCACTTGCACACCTGACCAGGTCTGGGGTTCAAACTACAGTCAACTACATGGGAGTCCAGTGAGGTACCTGTTATACCATCCTGGTCCCCTGCCTGTACTTTTTTT